TTGATCGCCTGCTCCGTGGCATGCGCGTGTCGAAGGTGTCGCACCAGCACGTTGTTTTTGCAGTGTCCCAGTTGGACGTGCAGCTTCCGGAGGCTGTTCTCGATTGAACTGTGAGGCCGACGTAAGACATCCCGCGTCTCGTCCGCGTCCTCCTCAATCACCTCATGCTCTCCTTCCTCCTGCACTGCTGCGCACCCGGCCTCTGGGTCGGACGCCTCCACCTGGCACTGCCGCAGCATGCCTCGCACGATGGCCTCCACCAGCCTCCGGGGATACCTCTGGCTGAACACCGTGCGCTTGACCCCACACTTCAGCATGCCCTCAGTGTGCCGATGCTCGTGTCCCCCTCCGCACCTCCGGTGGACTGCCCTCGCCACCTCCGGTGCCGACGTCACAAACTCCCAGCTCTTGGGCATCAGCTTGAGGGTGTCTGGGCATCTCAGACCGAACTCACAGCCGCTCGCAATGCCCACGTACACGCCCTTCGTCTGCAGCAGCTGCCTCATCACGGGCACCTGGAGGCTAGCACACCTCGGGGGGGTCTCATAAACAAAATGCCTGCCCCGCTCCATCTGGTAGATCGCCACCTCCACGACCACGTGCACCAAGCTCACCGACCATTTCACTTCTACGATGTGCTGTGCCAGGTTTCTCTGGCGATCCAAAGGCGTGCACTGCTGCGTGATCGTCAGTTTCTGGCACGGAGGGCACATGTGCACGAAGTACGGCTCGTCCTCGATGATGTGCCGCCACATGGCCTCGTAGTTAGTCGCTGTCCTTGTCCACGTCCCAGCCGTGCGCCTTGTCGAGGCTCTGACCCTCCAGGAACCCCGACCTCACCGCTACAGGCACGATCCGCGGTGGGGAGAACAGCTCGGTCACCATCCTCCCGGCCTGTGGGCTCCGACCCGGCCCTACTGAAAAGTCGGAGCGCCCTCGCTCTCGGCCACGTTTTGCACGCGCACCGCCGACTCATGCATCTGCCTCCGGGTCCTCTTCTCCCGATTCAGGAAGTCGATCTCGTAGTGACTTGCCACCGTCTCGTTCAAAGGGATCGTGATGTCAAGCCGCTTCAGGTGCATCGAATCCGTCTCGAGGTCGATGGCCGCTCCCAGGGCTTTCAGGTCTGGCTTGCTCATCAGGAAGCCCGCGGAACCGGGCACCACGTACACCACGAACGTCACGATGTAGTTCTTGATCGCCCAGTCCAGCTCCACCGCACCTATGGACTCCTGCACGCTGTTGTCGAACCCTCGGAACCGCATCGGCCTGACGTCCTTGAGCCACTTGGCCTTCTTGCCGGTTGCCGCCTCGTGCTTCATCAGCGTCTCCTCACCGATCAGGGTCTTGCAACACCCCGTGTCTGGGACCGAGCACCCGTCAGAATGCGTCACCCCCAGGACCGTACCCTCCTCGGTGGCCTTTACCTCGGGCGTCGCGTCGTCGTCCTCCTGCTTCTCCTTCATCTCATGCTCCAGCCTCTTCCACCGCTCCTCCTGGATGAGCTTCGCCAGCACGTTGTCCTCGTGGACCTTCAGGATGCTGTTGATCTCGTCATCCAGGTTGTCCTCGAGGCAGGGCTGCACCATCTCCACTCGCACTTCGCCAGCAGCTTCTGGCTCCATCGGCTCTGCGATCACCATGCCGGTGCCGTGAGCAGGAAGAGCCTCCTTGCAGTCCCGGCTGAAGTGACCGATCTTCTTGCACCGAAAGCACTTCACCCGCCGGCCGAGCTTGTCGAGGTCCTGCGGCGTAGGCCCGCTGGGGCCTGGGGGCCGTGCCTTCCACCCGGGCCTCAGCCCGCGATCCAACCTTTCCTTGTTCATGGCCACTCGTGTCTGCTTCCAAGTCGCCAGGATCTCCACCGCATCTGACTCCTCAATGGGCTCCGCCGCCTGGACGATCGCGTCAATCTCCTGGGTGACATCGTCCTCGGCGCCGCCCTCCTGGTAGGGCTCGGACGGCGGGGGAGCCTCGCTGTCCACGAACTCCTCCTCCACCGCGTACGCCGCCTGCGTGAGCCTCTCCGGGGGGATCCCCGGGAAGGCCGTCCTGATCGCCGTGCACACCTCGTCCACGTTCCAGCTCCGGTGGGTCGCCGACATCACCGTCGCCCGGCCGAAGTTGCCCAACCTCGCGCCGCGCAGGATCAGGTAGCCCCTCGCGACCGACGGGAGGTCCACGCCCTCCTTGGCCAACCGCGCGAACACCAGCTGCGCACGCCCGGTGTAGGCTTCCGTGGTCTCCTGCTTCTGGACCCGCAAGCTGAAGCCGTCCTCCATGGCCTCACCCAAGCGATCCGCCCGCCGCAACCTTGTCGGGGAACCGCTCGTCGAGGCGAGCGAACACCACCTCCTCGCCCGACTCGACGTTGATCTCCGACAGGTCCACGTTCTCCACCGCCAGCGCCGCCTGGCCGTCGAGCAACGTGTACAACCACGGGCCCAGCGCCTCGGCCGGCGTGTTCCTCGCCTTCTGCACCACTAAGGCCGCCTTGGCCCACCTCTTCCATACTTTGTAGGCCGCCGCGCCGTCGTTCCCGTCGCCGCTGAACCGCTTCGTGTTGAAGCTGCCGTTGTCCGCCATCGTCCGGGTGACAGGCTCCTGCCTAATCACCAGCTCCTCACTCGCACTTGGCTCAAGCCACTGCGAACTCCACGATCGCGAGTAGAGTCGAGCTCGATGGATGAGTCGAGGATGTTTTCTGCCTCCTGCAAGCGCGGCCGAGGGCGCCCGCGCTCCCCGCGCGGTGGGCCTATCGAACCAGAACAGTGGCTACGGAGCGGAACGCTGCTAGGGGCCACCGGTGCCCTTTTGGGGTCGGCACGGGAACTGAAAAGGGCACCGGTGCCCTTTTGGGGTCGGCACGGGAACTGAAAAGGGCACCAGCACTCCTAGGGACCTCAGGGGGCCTATAGGGCGCTCACGGGTAGTTCGCGTTCGCACCTCCCTTTGGGGAGATCCAGCGGCGCACCCTCCTCGTTTAGGGTTCAATTCATTCTTCAGGATCGGCGCGGATCGACCCGAAGCCGACCACCGACCGAATCGGGCACAACCCAGTCTAATCTTACTGGATCCCGCTTCGTTCCGTTGATATGACCTCATCCCGGGCTTACAGTGGAAACCCAGGTCAAGAAACACCCTGCTTGCCTCCAGGGTGTCCTGGGTTTCTTGGGCTTCGATGGTTCTGCGATGGAATGCGTGGCGTTCCCACACAAACGATCCATGGAGGTCCTGGGGTCTCAGGGTTGAGTTTTTTGGTGGAAGGTTTCTTGTGGTCGGGCCCCCACTGTAAGCCGAGAGTCTCTGAGATGCGGCTCCTTCAGAGCGCTCCGGAGTGCTCTGGACCGGATGTCTCCTCGTCTCGGCCACGCCCGAGGAGGTGAAGGAGGAGGAGGAGGAGGACTATAGTCTGCTCCAAAATTCTGTGCTCGCTCTCACGGAGACATCCCAGGAGGTTTTTCCTAACCTTCCGTCGGGCGTGTCCCCCAACAGGAGGCAGATTCTAAAATAGTGGAAAATCGTATGGGGACGATGTTTCGACTACTTTTGACTACTTCGGTTATTTGTTTGCCGATTGCCCAATGATCTTCCAAACTCCGCCTGCAGGAGAGCATGCGTGACCTAATCCTAACCTCGTAGTCATGGTAGGAACCGGCCGTGTGCTCCGGCCAGCCTCGATGTTTCGAGGGGGTGCGGGGGGGGGGAGACGCCCGTCCATACACATGCCCCGGCCCCGACCAGGCAACATCGACCCAGCGCCCAGCATGGGCGTGACCAGTTCCCTCGTTTACGGTGCAATTCATGGGAGTTTAACTTCAGGATCGGCGCTGATCAATCCGTAGTCGACCATCGACCGAATCGGCCACAATCAAGTTTAACATTACTGAATCCCGCTTCGTCCCGTGTGATAGGACATTAGCCCGGGCCTACAGTGGAGACCCATGCCAAGAAGCATCTTGCTCGCCTCCAGGGTGCCCTGGATTTCCTGGGTTTCGATGGTTCTGCAATTGAAAGCGTGACGTTCCCACACCAAGGAATCCATGGAGGTCCTGCCGTCTCAGGGTTGGGTTTTTTGTGGAAGGCTTCATGTGGTCGTGCCCCTACTGTACACCGGCACCGGCCCTGGCCAGGCAACATCGATCCAGCGCCCAGGAGGGGCCCGACCAGGGTCCGCGCATGGTGTACGGTGGCTTGGCGTCGTGTTGAACGGCGGCGGCCCCGCCGCCAGTGTTAAACGTGGAACGCCGCTGGCGATCCAGAATCAGTCGATGTTGAACGATTGGACGTTTCGGAAGCGGCCAATCGTTCAATCTGCACGAACGAGATGGGCACGGAAAGAATGGGTACAATGCCCAACAGCAGTTCTTGTTCATTTTGAACAGGAGTCGCTGTCCGCGCCGCCGCGGCCTGTGTCCATTTGAGACAGAAGGCCGCCTGCCCAACAGCGGCCGATGTTGGTCTGGGACAGCATTTGTTGTTGGGCATTGTACCCATTCTTTCGGTACCCATTTCGGGTGTCCAAATTCAAGGTTGAGCGATCCCCGCGGTGTCAGGAACCAACGCCCGGGTCGACACGACACGAACCTGCCGTATAGCTGGCGCCCCTTTCCTACGCGTCGCGGGAGCACGCAAATATTTCTACGTCGGAGCGCCGGATATGTGATGTCCCGAGGAGTGGTCTGACGAAATTTTATTCATTATGCCGTATCTTTGGCACAGTTATCGAGAAAGCTCTGTCACCAGTTTGAGGTTTGGCGTGTGGAACTCTGAGAAGTTTGTGGGCCCGCCTTTCGTCCCAAGCTTCCCGGAGGCTGAGAATGGCGAAAACGAAGTGTCCCTGACCCGGTCGCGACGCGAGGGGTCAGGGGACACAACAATGACCCCGCAAGGAGCAGAAATCAGAAGAATCGCAGGGGGTCCGAGACCAGGCTTTACTGCCGCGTCGATTTGCCAGCCGCAACGCAGTCAACGACCAGACGCTGCACTGAGCGGTGGAGGATATCGACGATCGCCACCACGTTGTCGGGGGTGAAGAGGTGGAGGTTGATGCCCATCCCGGCAAAGCCGCACCCACACGGCTACTTCGACGGGTTGGTGTACGACCGTGGCGAGGTAGGCGTGTTTGTTAGTTTTTTTGTTGGTCGGGATGGAAGGGGGTAGCCGAAGAGGGAAATACGGTTTAACTATGAATGTTCGCAGGTGCGTTCAGAGTTCTTTTCGCTGTACCCACATCGGCGGCGCCACTGGCGCCTGAAGCTTTAATTCCCTCGATGTCCCTTGGAGCCGTCAGGAGCCTTGGGGCACCCGAAGAATCTCAAACATCGACGCAATGTGTGTGCTCTGCTATCTCTAATCAGAAAGAAGAGGGGGGCGAATGGTCTTTGACCACCTCTTGGCGTGTGCCTGAAAAGCCCCTTGGTGCGAGCCTGAGACGCGGGCTTACAAAGCTCACGCTGCAGCGTTTCGTGGTCTCGCCCAAACACACCCCAACAACATCAACAGCAACGCCGCTCACTGAGTTTTCGCTTTTCACTCTGGGCCGGTGCCCTTGTTCGTCCAACGAAACCAGCGCTCCCGCTGGAGATCTCTTCGCCTCCCTCCCAGGCCCGCAGACCATCCCCCTACGACAACGACCGATCCGCTGGATACTTCCTCGTTTTTTCCCGGAAAGCGCTCGGGCCCAGGGTTCTCTTTCAGTTTTTTATCCCCCCGGCTTCGACTTGCGTGGGGCCAGCGAAATTGTTCTGCGATAAACAACGAGGTCGCGCATGGCAGGCGAATTAAGATTTTGAGGCTGTCCCAAGCGAAACGCTAGTTTGGTAAATCCCGATCGATGAAACACATGGTAAAGTATACATGCTTGTTTGTTGCGGATGTCTCGAGCGAAACGTTTGTGTTGCAGAATGTGTTGACGATGTCTCGAGCGAAACGCTTGTTATGTGTGTGTGTGTGTTTTTTTTGTTGTTCCTCTGCTAGGGACCAAACTTCAGGGAATGTCTCAGATGAAATGATTGTTTTCACGTGCCCATGTCTTGAGGATGTCTCCAGCGAGACGCTTGGTTTTACGCGCCTAAGCTGCCAAGGCAGATGTCCAGCATGAAGATTTGTTGAGGAAGTCTCGAGCGAGGCGATTGTCCTCACGCGTCCAGAACGCCCATCTAGCATGAGGATGTGTTGAGGATGTCTCGGGCGAGACTCTTGGTTTCACTTGTCCAGTTCGCCCAGGCGGATGTCTAGCATGGGGAGGTGTTGAGAACGAATCGAGCGAAACGCTTGTTTTCACGTGCCCAGGTCGCCCAGGCGGATGTCTAACATGAAGTTGTGTTGATGATATGTTGAGCGAAGCGCTTGCTTCGACGTGTGCAGGTCGCTCGCGCGGATGTCTAGCATGAGTATATGTTGAGGATGTGTTGAGCGAAACGAATGTTTTCACGTGTCCAGGTCGCCCAGGAGGATGTTTGGCATGAGGATTTGTTGAGGATAGCTTCAGCGAAACGCCTGTTTTCACTCGCCCAGGTTGCCCAGGCAGATGTCTAGCATGAGGAGGTGGTAAGGACTTCTCGAGCGAGACGCTTATTTTCACGTGTCCAGATCGCCGAGGCGGATGTCTAACATGAGGATTCGTTGAGAACGTCTCGAGCGAAACGCTTGTCGTACTAGAGTGCATCGGAGTCCAACCCCGCCCGTCCGTGGGGCGTCCCCTGGCGCGCTGGCGCGTCCCCTGGCGCTTCCCTCAGGAACCAAGTGATCTTTGAGTGTCCCGCCTCGCGTCCTCGACGATTGGCGACACCTTGCATACTTGACAGCCCCGAGGGGAGGCGTCATTGCGTTACGCTGTCCAGGCGTCGCGTCGCATAAGCGCATGGGACATCACGAATCGGCACCAAAAACACAACACACACTGGCAGACTCATCGGACCACGCGTGTAATGGCATATCAGAGCACAACACGAGCATAGCAGAAAACCTAATCCTGTACAACATAATGGCAATGTCAGGATATAGCTCAGAAAGCACTAACAGAACGTAGCATACTAGAACATATCATGCCATGCCATGACATAACGAACTAGCCCCACCTGATCTAGTAGAACAATCCATAGCAGTTCATTCTATGCCAGAGCGGATCACCACAGAGTGTACCAGAACGCTCACCGTGGCCTTACCAGTTGTTACGGCTACGGCAATGTGTTTAGTGGACCACACACAGAAAGACCATAGTTGCATAGTACCAGGCCGTAACAGGGCATACCATGATATATTGAGCAGTGCATGGCGCAACACTGCAGGGCATTGCATGACAGCGCATCATACCAGAACACAACATCACGTACCATGTCCCATCGTACAATACAACATCATGATGCGACCGAGCTGGGCCTGCCAGAGTAAATCATGTCAGACATAGCATAACGGACCGTAGCGCTTTTATTACCGACATCGCCATGGCAACGCGTACACGATATCATGACACTTATTTGGTACAGGCGCAGAGGGATACCATATCGTAACATGCGTCATCATAAGACATTGAATCCAGCGCATAGAGCATCAGCATACTATAACATAGTATCACATACCATCACATCACGCACAATCACCTTACTCACTTTCACAGGCCCATCACACCAGAACATAGCAACGCATATCGTGACAGGGCGCGGCGCAGCACAGCACAACAGTACATTTGGTCTACACTCCGCCAACGGCTGCAACATAACAGTACGACCATAACAACGTAATAGTACATCTCATACGTACTATCATGTAGTAAACCAGTCGCATACATATTGGACAGTCGTACGACACCTTGCCATACCGAGGGGGATACCTGTGCTGTCAATAGCATCGCATAGCAATGCATACCACCAACTACACAATAACGCACCATTCACGCTGTGTTCTGCAATATCGCGGGATCGTGCTTAATTGTGTAAATTGTGTAAAGAGAGAGATTATTTGAGTTGCGAATTCTAGAACAGAGAAGCCGAACGAAGTACAAATTAGTGCAAGATCGGAGACTCATTTGACCACCTCGTGTCAATACCAGGGTACGGGATAATACATCCGAGCAACGAGTGCAATACCACAACGCAAGAACCATCAGAAGTAGTTCGACTACGAGCGCAACACCCGTGTCTCATATAACTGTGGTCTCATGTCTGATTTGCAGATCGCATATTCGAACGAACGCAATGTTTGCCTAGCGTCGCTAGAAAGGTACGCCCCTATCGCAGAAGAGAGTTTAACGTAACACATCATGGCAGGACACGGCGTAACGCAACACAATATTATTTCACCTAAGATAGCCTTCTGGTTTATAATGGATTCGGGACGTCCAGAATCTGACATTCTGACATTGCTGAATCTTCCCCAAACCGTGGCTGCACTCGGGGGTTCTTCTTTCATCGCTTCGCTCATTCCGCCGGCCCGTATTGTGCCATCGCAGGCGTTTTTGCTTGCGCGGTCGTGGCTTCTTGGGGCCTCTTGGAGGCCGTTTGGGTGCCTCTTGGGGCTTGGGCGTCGTGGGGTCTCCAGGGTGACTCTTGGGGGCCCTTTTTGCGGCCTCTTGGGGCCTGCTGGGGGCCTCTTGAGGCGGAAGGCTCGAATTGGTGGTTCGTGCTCCCCCTCTCGGGCCCCTCTTGGACCGTCAAGGGGCCCGTTTGGGGGCCATTCGGGCCGTCTTGTGGCGGTCTTGGGGATCTCTGGGGCCATCTTGGAGCGTCGGAAGCCCCAAAACGCAAGAATGCGAAAAACGTAGAAACAACACAAGGAAAATCAACGATGTTTGCTTGTTTCGGCCGCTCTTGGGGCTTGTTGGGGGCTCTTGGGGCGTGTTTGAGGCTTTTGTTGGGGCCACTGGGGCCGTCTTGGGGTCCTGGACGTCTTGGAACGCTCTTTGGCCGTGGTTCCCATTCGTGGGCCCTAGTGGAGTTGCCTTGAGATTCTTTGGGCCGCTCCTGGGACGATTTGGGGGGCCCCGAAGCACCCCCCCCTGGGAGGTTCCAGCATCCTTGAGCGGAACTTGCCGGGACATGGCCAGGAGTCGGCCGGGGGATTTTCGTCTGGCGTCTGGGCTGGCCCCAGTTGCCAGGGGCTGCCCCGGGCGCGCGAACTATAAGATGCTTGGTACTCTGGGAGCGACTTGCCGGGGATCTTGGCACGTCTCTGGCCCGCTGGGCCGGCGCATCTCTGTTCTAGGGAGGTGGGCTTGCGGACCACCCCGGCCGTTCTGTCGTCGCCGTGGCAGCCCCGTGGCCGCCTCGTCTCCGCCCGTCGTCGGGGTCCGCGGGCCAGTCTGGCAGCTATGTTGCCGCCGTCGTTACCCCGTCGCCGCCTCGTCGCCGCCCATTGTCAAGCAGTGGCGAAGCGTCCTGGCGTGCCCAAATGCCTACCAAACAATGTTCTGATAACCTGTTCTGGTCTGCACGAAATGTTCTTAGAACATTTCTGGCCGGTGCTGTCTTGTTTTAACGCATCGGGGTTCTGTTCTAAAAACATTGGTTTTGTTATGATGACAATTCCGGGTTCTAAGCACATGTCGTGGTAGGCCTATAGAAATGCCGGGACGGACGGTCTTTTTTCAACATTGTTTGGGCCTGCGGGCTGGTCTGGTGGTTATGTTGGCGCCATAATCGCCCAGTCGTTGCCTCGTTGCCGTCCATCGTCTGGGCCTGTGCGTCGGTCTCGCGGCTATGTTGTCGCCGTGACCGCCCCGTCGCCTTTTGTCGCCGCCTTTGCGTATATGGCACCGTACAGATTGCACCACGTAGAATGCACCACTAATTTTGACCCACGTAGGTTGCACAGCATATAGTACACCACATGGATTGCACCACATCGATTGCACAACCTGGGTCGCGCGACTTAGATTGTGCCACTTTTAGTGTGCGACATAGAGCACATCACATGCGCTGCAACACCTAGATTACAACTCGTATGTTGCACCACCTAGTTTGGCACACATAGTTAGCTGCACATATGTCGCCCATCATTGATTGCACAATCTGCCTTTCATACCATGTACCGCAGGACATAGGTTGCACATCAGAAAAGACACAACAGAGATCACACCACAAAGGTTGCACCCCATCGACTGCTCGACCTAGATTTCACCACACACACATTGCTTCCACCTAGATTGCACAACCTAGATTGCTAGAAGCACACTGTTCGGGGTCCACGCTGGCTAGCACAACACGACAGGGCACATCAGCGACCGATTAACTTTGCCTTGTTGAACTATCGGAAGCGATGTGCGCGCCGCGGTCAGGCTGGCCAGAGGAACAAGAGGCTCAGCAACGACGTAACGCTGGCCCGTCCAGAACAGGACTTCATGGAGTATGATAGGATAGGACACGAATGAAACAACAAGACACAGTTGAAAGCTGTAGAGTGGAAATAGCAGCGATTGCTTACGACGCCCTATTATACGCAACGTGCGAGCTCTCTTACGGCTGACCACTTGAACAAGCCACACAATAATGAAACATAACCAAACATAATGTGACACAGTAGAATGCAGCAGCGATGCGCGCCGAGTTCAGGCTGGCCGCAGTAGCAAACAGTACCAGGCTCGGGAGCAAACGCCGAAGATTTTGGCAGGGATCGCCCGACACTTTTGCGCTATGCCAGAAATCTTGGGAGGAGAAAGAGGCGGAGGATGAGGTCGAGGTGCATGAGGTTTCGAGCTCGTGGATGGGGGTTCAGTGGCCGTTCGTGGCGATTCGGGCATCCCGGGGACCCAGACGCTCTCGGCGAGGCGCGGCTGAGACTGCGAACGTCCTCTCAGAGGCCTCAGGAGACTGCGAGAACGTCTGAAACTCTGTGGTTTCGGAGGGAGTGGAGAATGCGGAGGGGGGAGGAGGAGGAGGAGATGGAGAAGGTCAGGTGTAGGAGGCGGAAAAGTGTGGATGAGGAGGAGGACGAGGAGGAGGTGGAGGATGATGTGGATGAGGATATGTCGTTGATGGGAGGCTGGAGAAGATGTTGAGCAGGAGGAGGACGAGTATGTGGAGGAGGCGGATGGGATGATGTGGAGGATGCAGAGGAGAAGGACGAGAGGAACAGCAGGAGGTTTCCGATGCGGTGTTCGACCTTGGCTGCAAGGGCCGCTGTGGGGAGTGGCAGCCGCACGTGCCACACTGCGGCCCCCGCTGCGGCTCTGCAGGCGCCGCGCCCCTTCTTTGGGGGGCGGCGTGCTCTGGCGCACCGCGCGGCTACCCGGTGACTGTCAAGTCGGGCCTGTTCCTCTCCAGGAGGAAGATCCCCAAAATAGTCAAAAAATAGTCGGGGGACGATTTTCCGATTGTCTTTGTTCGATTTGTTTGGGGGTATTTGTTTGATTCTTTTTCATTCTTCGTCCAAAATCCAACTGTAGGGGGACATGCCCGACCCAAGACTGCCCAGTGCTGCCCGGCTGCTCACGGCGCGATTCCGGTAAACTAGTGCTTCGCACCAGTGGGACCCCATCTTCAATTTCACCACGTACCCTGGCGATCGGGTGAGGGAAAGCCCTCCTCCTCCTCCCGCTCCTCCTCCTCCTCCCCCTCCTTTCCGGGCGGTAGTTCGTTGGCTGGGCGTGAGCAATACACGTGCGGCTTTCGGGAGACCGACCCTGGGCGCCGGACTCCTCCTCCTCCTCCTCCTCCTCCTCCTCCTCCTCCTCCTCCTCCTCCTGCCTCCTCCTCCTGCCTCCTGCCTCCCCCTTCCCGGCCATTCGACGTCGTGGTCTGGTTCGCGGCATGGCTCCCCAGCCCACTGCAGCCAGGGGCGTGGCGGCGCCCGGGGCCCCGAGGGTGCGCCTCGGCCTGGCTTTGCTCTTGGGGGGGCAGGTGGCCTCATGTGAGGAGGTCAAGGCTTCTCGGGCCTCTCGGGCCGGGCGAAAGGGGGGGGATTGGGAAAGGGGGGGGTACGAAATCTGCTGCATGCATCTGGTTTCGGCCCCACCGAGGGGCCCAGTCCTCGATACATGGGCGCCTCCGGCGGCGGGAGGCGCCGGGAAAAGCAGTTACGTGAGCTGATTCTTAAACCCCCCTTTGCTATCCCCCCCTTTCGCCCGACCCGAGCCTCGGTGGAGCCACGCCATGAACAAATCTCGACGCCAGACGTCTGGGTCCGTGTCGCGTTCGGAGCCAGTCGGCGTCGCGGTCGGAGGAGGTGTGCGGCAGGCCCAGGGCCTACATCGTTCCCGAGAGTTTTTTGGAGCACTCTTGGGGCGTTCTAGGCCGCTCTGGGATGGCCGCGGCACGCGATACGTCGTCTTAAGTCGGGCCTGTCCCCCTACATGGGGATTTTCGACGAGAAATAAAACATACCCCGAAAATTGCCCCAAAAGGTCAAACAATATTCAAAAAATAGTCCCCAGGCTATTTTTGGGCTATTGTTTGAGCATTTGGGGGGCATTTTTTGGGTTCCGTCGAAAATCCCCATGTAGGGGGAAAGGCCCGACTTAAACGTCGTCCAGACGCGCTGGTCCTCAGACATCCCCGATGTTCGGGGGTGGACAGAACCCCCAACAGTGACACGTCGATTAGTGAATTGTCCGTTTTCGGTTTTCGAGAGGGCGCCATGGCCGTTATTTTCCAGGCTTGCGCCCGCCAGGTTTGGGCCCGAAGTCGTTTTCACTAAACCACGTTTTACTAAAGGGAGGTTTGTCCATCCCCGAGATGTGTTTCCATTTGGATGTGTCCTCATCCTGCTCTGTGTTGCCAAGGATGCCTGACCTTGCCCTTCAATGGGAGCTTCTTGGAGATTCATAGCACAATAGCGCTCAGCGTCGCTGAACACCGCGCATCTCCGCTCAACACCGCGTCCTTCACTGAGCGAGCGACGCTGAGCGGTGTTGCGCGGTGCAGGTTACCGAGTCGGTTCGCGGAGCCTCCCGTGAGTCGGGCACAAATTAATCCGAACTTATCATTAATCAACCGAGGGGTGACAAACGTGAAAACGCGGCGCGGCCACCCCCCGGCACCACCCCCGCGCCCCAGCGGGGAAGGGAACGAACCCCAGACCCCCTTTGGCACCCCCAGAGACGCGCCGCGGCCAACCCCCCGGGGCACTCCAAGGGGGGGGGGGCGATTATTCAGCGATCCAGAGTAAGCATTCTCTGTCCAGGTGAGTCTGTCGTGTTCCCCCCCGGCTTCATCCACGAGGGCCTCAGCGTCGGGGACGACTGCGTTGCCAGCATCACCTACCAGTACACGCTGCCCGCCCCGGTCGCGTACTTCCGCTCCTTCTTCCCCCGCGTGAGGACCCGCCGACGCTGAGCTTACGTCGGGCGTGTCCCTCTAAAGGAGGAATATGAAAACACAGTTTAACCAAATGTTATGGAGACTAGTTGTTGAATATTTGTTTACCACTTGGAGCATGTAAGTTTTTGTCCGTCCACTATCCGCCTGTAGGGGGACATGCCCGACCTAACGCTAAGCGTGCTGCACGAGGGTCGGGCGTGCCTGCGTGGGCCGCTCGTGAGGCCTGCCGTGCAGCGCACGGATCCCGAAGGCAAGCGGGGGCCCCCCGAGGTCCGCGCCTCTGCTCGGGCGTCCGCGCGGGGCCTGTCCGACGGAGGGCCCGCTGTACTCTGTGAGTTCGAGGTGCCACGCGAGGCTTCCATTAAGTCGGGCCTGTCCCCCTACGGGGGGATGTTCGACGACAAATAAAAAAGTACCCTAAAAGTGATCCAGAAATAGTCCAAAAATAGTATGGAGACTATTTTTTGAGTATTGTTTGACCTTTTTGGGGTATGTTTGGGGTACTTTTTATTTTTCGTCGAAGATCCCCCTGTAGGGGGACAGGCCCGACGTAAGGCTTCCAGGAGTTCCTCATCATGAGCTGTCAGTCATCATGTGCTCTGTCCATATCTTTGGCATCGCTCGGACGTGTGCATCTTTCCTTCGGCGAGGACCATCGAGGAGCATCCTTTATCATTTCGCGGAAAAACCACGCACAAAACCGAACAAAAACACAGGGAAAGGACGTCCGAGCGATGGCGAGACTACAGCATGGAGTCAGCATGGGGTTTCGGGCTCTCTTCCCCAGAAACCCGAGGCGCACTGGATCTGGATCGAGCTGCCCCCTGGAGGCTCGATGCTTGTCCATGTCCCTGTGCGCCTCGGCCTTGTGGCGCCCCTTCCAAGAAAGTCCAGGGCGCACTGGATATGGATAGAACTCTTGCCCGCTTTGATTCGCCAGCGACCCCTTGGCTGTGCCCCCGCCTTGTCGGATTCCGAGTGGGCTGCAGGCACGCCGCCCTCCAGTGTTGGCAGGATGCTGTTATGGCCCAGCGGCCGTCCCCGCTCGCCGTCGTCGTCGCCGACGCACGGGGGGACTTCTGTTAGGTCGGGCATGTCCCCCTGCATGCGGATTTTGGGGGAAGCCCAAAAACATTCAAACATAATAGAAACATAGTCTGGAGTATTGGATAATTTTTGGATTGTTGTTCCTGTTTTTGTTTTGCATGCTTGGCTTATGTTTGAACATTCTTCCTGTAGAGGGACAGGCCCGACTTCAGCCTTCCCTCAGCCCGACGACGACGAATCGGGATGACCGAAATGGGCACGGAAAGAATGGACACGATGTCCAACAGCATTGCTTGTTCCTTTTCAACAGGACTCGTTGTCCGCGCCGCCGCGGTCGTTTTTTTGAAGACAAACAGCCACTTGCCCAACATCGGCCGCTGTAGGTTTGGACAACTTTTGCTGTTGGACATTGTACAATTTGTCCGTTCCCACTTCGGCGTCCAATGGCAAAGCTTTCCCAGTAGATGCCTCGAACGACTGCCGGCGGCGAGCAAGGGGGGGAAGTGAGACGGCCTTCTCAGAAGGTTCGGAAGTCCCTCCGCCTTCTGAGCAGAAGTTTTCTAAGTCTTCCCCGAACGCAAAGACAGTTTCTCAGAAGGCGCGAGGGCCTCTGAGAAGTCCCGCCGCCTTCGGAGAAGGCCTCCTCCTCCTCCTCCTCCTCTCCCCGCCTCGCTCGCCGCCGAGAACGGAGGAGGGAACCGATCATGACGCCTTCGTCGAAACTCCAGGCTCCAGCCGCCGAGGTGGCCGTCCCGGCCCCCTCCCGCCCCCCCCCCCCTCGCGGGAGCCGCGCCTGCGGGCACCCACCGGGGGCGGGAGCCGCCCCCCCCGGCACTCCTCTCGCGCCGCGAGGAGGACGAGGGACATGAAGAACTGCGTGCCGATGATCCAGGCCGCGGCCCCAGTCTCGGAGCAGGAAAAGGCACCGATAGAGCTGCCCCTCCCTCGTTTTCGTCCTCGTCTTTCTGAGCTTCCAGGGAGGCCCTCGTCGCCGCCGCTGGATTCGCCTCGAAGTCCTGGGGGCGCAGCGGTGTCTGCGGCACCTCTGTAAGTTCCCCACAGTCGGCGGCGGCCTCGCCTCCCTCTCCTCTGGCCCCCTGCTTCTCCCTCGTCCTCGGTTGGCACCGCTGGGACGCGTGCGTGTTTTTTTGTTCCCCCCTCCAGCGAGGGCCATCGACGAGCACCCTGCATCGTCGAGCCACCAAAAGCAGCACGCACGACACCAGGCAGGGCACGGGAAACGGACGCCCGAGCGGCGGCAAGGCCTCCTCTTCTTCCTCCCTCCTCCTGCAGCGTTCTTTCTCCTCCACCTCCTCATCCCCTCTCCTCCTTCCTCCTTCTCCCTCCTCCTTCAACTCCTCCCTCCTCCTCCTTCTCCCTCCTCCAGCGATCCTTCTCCTCCACCTCCTCCTGCCTCCTCCTCCTCCCTCCTCCGGCCTCCGTTCTCCTCCGTCCGTGTGGCTTGCAGAAGTTTTAAGGACGAGTGCGTGCAAGAGCCACACCAGAGAATCGGTTCACCCTCCCCATCTGTGTCGTTGTTTGAGGCGTTTATGGCGGATGTGCGTTGCGCTGCAGCGAGAGCCATCGTTTGCAAACGACGGGTTGCCCATCCGCGTAATTGTAGGGGGATGTGGGGGAACAGTGACACGCCTGGTTGTGGTGCTATCTTCAAGGGGGATGGATGAGGAGAGAGGCAGGATGCAAGCTCAGCGCGCCCGCGCCATATCTGATATCCCACCCCTCCCGCTTATCCCTCTCCATGGCGGCGAATTCGCTTCTATCCGCCGACTGGGTTTCCCCTGAGGGACCTCATTCCACTGTGCAGTCTGGAGAAGTTGGCTCCTGCACACGGGATGACGATGATGTGGCGGATGAGCAGAGTTGGGCATCGCTCGGACGTGCGCGCCAGGGGCATCGAGGAGGATCTCGGATCATCCTGCGGGACAAAAACCAAGGCAGTTGGCATGGCACTCGGAGTGGACGCCCGAGCGGTGGCGAGGGAGGCGGGGAGCAGGAGGATCACCACCCACCAAACCACCCCAACCCAACCCGAAGGCTCAGATTTACCCTCGATTTCCAGTGGGGGGGGGGGTCGGGGAACATCGAAAAAACATATGTGGAACCCTTACCCCCCCCCCCAACCCGAAATTCGGGTCTTCGGGTTGGGTTGGGATGGTCTGGTAGGTAGTCAGAGGAGGGCGAGGCAGGGGGGCCGAGCAGCACCCCGGCAGCAGGAGGAGCAGAGGCGGCAGGAGGACCAGGCCGGGGAGAGAGAAGGAGGGGGCACCGGGGCTCCATCGGCGGCGAGCGAGGGGGGGGACAGTGGGAGGAGGAGGAGGAGGAGGAGGAGGAGGAGGAGGAGGAGGAGGAGGAGGAGGAGGAGGAGGAGGAGGAGGATGGGGAGGAGGAGGAGGAGGAGGCGGCGGAGCTCATGGGGTCTCTGTGGCAGTCTTACCGAATTTGCGTGCCCAAGCTAACGTGCGTTAAATGACCCAGAGGGGGTGCCCGTGCAGCGCACCCAGACCGTGAAAAGGAGTGCCCTTCCTGCACTCTCGGCTCAAGGCCGCACTGCCCCGTCAGGGGCGACCCCGTTCGGGCGCGAAATCTGGGGCTCCCTCTGGGGGTCGGGGACCGTTCCACTCCTCTTAAGCTTTTTAGCCCGAGGGAGCAAAACCGTCGGAGTCTCAGCTTCCATGGTAAATCTTCCGCTGCTCAACAACTGCTGAAAGCGCTCGCTGTGTTGCCAGCGCTCGACAAAATCTCGCCTGCTTACTAAAGTTCGCGCACCTGCTACTTGCCTGGGTCCCCGGAAGGAGGAAGGGGATGAGGAAGAGCCCAAGTGAGACGAGGTCGGAAGAAGAGGTGGGGAGGGAGAGCACTCAGACCCCGGAGGCTGCTCCGGTGCCCTTTTGTGGTCGGCCCGGGAAGCAAAAAGGGCACCGGCGGTTCCCGGTGCTATTCGGCGCTTGGTGCCCCGGCGCTCAGGCTCAGGAGAGTGCTGGCGCTTCTGGTGCTTGCCGGGGCTCTCTCTTACTTCAGAAGCTCCTCGAGAAGCCGGCTGGCGTCCCTCTCCAAGGGGCCCCGCGGCGCCGCTCCCACCCGGCGCACCGCTCCCACCTGCTTGAAGGTCTGGAGGAGCAGCTGCCACAAAGCCTGAGCTTTCTCGTAGGAGAGGTCCAGCGCCATGATGATCCTGCCCACCTCTTTCTTGCCCTCCTCCTTCTTGTTGCCCTTCCAACGAAAATACAACACGATGTCCGCCAACTCCTGGGGCGTGTTGCCCAGAATAAGGTTGTCCCAGGCGTCCTTGTACGCATTCTTCATCTCGCCCGCGGTGTTCTTGTAGCCCCACTCGATCATCGCCCCGAACGCGCGGACGTGAGGAGGGCCTCTGGCCTGGAAGTCCACCACCTCGTTCTTCTTTTTCTTTTCGGCGAGCTCGAGGCTTTCGGCATTGTACGCCTTGCCAGCCGCGCGGAGGGCCTCGCCGATGCCGGCCTCCACGTCCTCCATCTCGAAGGTCCTGTACACGGTGCTTGTGAGGTTTGCGATCTCGCGGCTGTCGCTGAGGACCAGCTTGGCCAGGGTGAGCACCAGCTCCTTGAGGGCGGCCTCCTTGTCCCCCTTGCCGATGGCGCCGCGCGCCCGCTTGATCGCGGCGGCGGCCTCCCCACCGCCCCCCGAATCGGTGGCCCTCTTCATCCACGACGGCATGGCCAGGTCGCCCATCTTGAAAGGTTGTCTGCGGCGCCGGGGGTAAGACGGGGCACGGGATGTGCGAGCCCAGATGGCTGAGGAGCGAATCGGTGTTTGCAGCCACAAACGGGCACAGAGGACAGTCGAGTTTGTCGGGCAGCTGCATTGGATAAAACTTACGGGCCCCAATCGCCGGACAACGCCCATTGATGATCGCTCGGACCAGGTGCCTCCCCGCCCGCCACACGCAACATTTGTTACAGACCGCCAGAACGTGCCCAAGACTGCGGACGTGGTGCTGAGCTCGGAGGTGGTTCAGGAGGCCCTTCTTGGATGAGAAACTCTGCAAGCACTGGACCCCGTCCTCGCACCACTGGCATTCCCAGGGCTTCTCCGGGGGCACCTCTGGGGGGGGCTGCTCGGGCTCAGGAGGGCGCACTGGAGGCACTTCTTCGCGAATCGCTCTGGATCGAATCTCGGCGAAATCAACCCTCAAGAGCTGTGCAACCACCCATTGCTTAGTCAAGCTCGCTGGATAAACACGCAGATGGTCGAGAATCGGCGCGTCATCAACAAGTTCGGAAGCACGTCGAAAGTCTTCTCGCACTCGCTTGGCCCAGGGGGACGCATTGCGCAGGAGTTCGTCGCCAGCCGTAGGTATCCTATCGATCGCCTCGAACTCAAAGGACCCGAAGAGGGCACATAAAAGTTGTCCGTGTGCCTGGGGGGCCCTCGCGAGGCTCTGGTACCATTTAAGGCGTCGCACCAGCATTTCGGTATCGCAGTCGGCTATCCTCCAATAGCGTAAAATAGCGCAATAGCGGAGGAGGAGGAGGAGGAGGAGGAGGAGGAGGAGAAGGCCCTCTCAGGAGGCCGCGGGGCATCTCAGGAGCCCTCGCGCCGTCTGATGTGTTTTCTTGGTGTCTTCGGGGGAGGCCCAGAAAACTGCTCCGAAGCCTGGGGGGTTTTCGAGGCTTTTGAGGAGGCCCGCCACTTTTCACTTCCCCCTTCGCTCGCCGCCGGTCAATGGATGGGGGTCAATGCAAACGGGGGTCAGTCAGAGCGCCAGATCTTGCAGGATCCTGAAGGGCCAGGGGCGCACTGACCCGGGCTTGGGTGCAGGATCCTGCAGGATTTTGCAGGATCCCGCAACGTTTGATTGACCCGGGTCGCGACTGACCCGGATCAGTAGATCCCCGAGGGGGACGGCACCGTGACAGTGCCATTCCTAACGACGGGAACATGTTCCCTTCGGCGGGGAATCAAGCACGTCTTTTCTCTTCCTCCTGCTCCTCCTCCTCCTCCTGTTCTTCCTCCTTCTCCCCCCTCTCCTCCTCCTCCTCCTCCTCCTCCTCCTCCTCCTCCTCCTCCTCCTACTCTTCCTCCTCTTCCTCCTCCTCCTCCTCCTCCTCTTCCTCGTTCATCTCATTGCGAAACGCGCCACGCACTCCTTCCTCGGAGCACATCGTCAGAGTCAATTGCATGCGGTGGCTGGGGGCAGGTTCAACCGTCTTGCGCCTTTTGGAACCGGCCACGTGGCATTTTGCCCGTGACAGCGGCGCTATCCATCAGAGTCCCGAATCATCAGGGGTAATTCGGGTCAGGGTTAACTCGGGTTTGTTTTTCGGGAATCCGAACCCGACTTACCCCGGACCCGAGCTTCCCCAGATAATTCGGGCGTCCAGAGCCCCACATCATCAGGGGTAATTCGGGTCAGGGCTAGCTTGGGTTCCTTTTTCGGGAATCCAAACCCGAGTTACCCCGGACAACTCGGGCGCCCAAATCCACGTTCCGTGATCTGGAAATGGGTACCAGGCACAGGGGATTGCGCATCTGTGTGCGAGACGGGGCCATGTTGCACGTAGGTCCCATGGTGGCCTTGTGCCCGCCTACCCTGTGAATCATCAAATATCGGATGACAGCTGGTTCTGCAGGGGGAGATCGTCGAGAAGTATTCTTGACGCGTCGCGTATCCCCAGCAACCTGTGGTCACCAGTCTGTCCTCCGCCTGTGGTCTGGCGTGTGGTTCCCCCCACACGGTCGCTGAAGACCCTCTACTGGGACCGGTGGAGGGACCACAGAGGTGCGTCCGACTTCGGACTGTCGTTTCCCCCCCCTGTGGTCACTGACGGCCCCCCACAGGAAGTAGTGAAGGGATCACAGAGGTGACTTCGTCCGGTGTTGTTCCCCCCGCGG